CTAAATGCTTGCCAAATTAAACATATCAACATTCTGTCCTCGATATGTTTCTATATCATGTAATACAAAGAGTTCAAGGTCAGAATACTAGCCCAGGATAACGGCAGTACTTCTCGAAATATTCATGAACATAATCCTTTTGATTATTGTAGATTACCACTCTAAATCAAGCTCAGTTTAATTAAAACAACAATTTTGTTTTCAGCTTAAAGATATTTTTGAACGAAACAAAATAGAAACACGTGCACTTTAATATTTTATGAATATAACTGAAAGCTCTAGATGTGGAAATTTTTCTGAGACTTATAAATAATAGCTAAATTATTTTTATTTACGACAACTCATTTTCGTTTTGAAAATCACCAGTGTCTATAAATTGACTCTCCTAAGATTTCAATTCCTGAATTTGTAACCAAAAATGTTATTATGAAGAATTCATTCACCACATATGGAACAAAGTAAAATAAGAGCCTTCACAGTATCAGAAAAAGAATTAGTTTTACATTACCCTCAATAATTGTTTCAAAATAACAGCCTATGAAACAGGTGAACATTAAAGGCTTAAGTAATATCAATTCAGTTTATTTCAAAACAGTAACTGATTACATTATTCTTCTTTAGTTTATTTTCTATCATCTCATAAAATACGTTAAATAATAGTCACAAAATCGTTTCTACAAATTTATACCGAGTAAGTCCACTAATTCAGTACCTTTAAAGTCCGCGATATGTGCCGAATGATTGGACATTTACTCTAATATAAATAAAATAAACCAAAAAAAGATGAAAGTTTTATACAGTGAATATATCATTTTAAATGAATGTAAATAATGAATTTAAAGATAAATTCCTTTAGTCAAATGCGAATGGACAAGTTTCTATAACATTACCTGGAAGTACTGAGCAAATCAAGTGCAGAATTATAAAAAGGTGATGAAATAGAGTTGCACATTAAAGGCAAAAGGACTTTAATCTGTTACATGCTAGAAACAGGTATTATTAGGAAAGAGAGAGGGGGAGGGAAGAAAAGAATATTTGCATGTTATTCAGCTTACATATCACACAGAAGAGTAGCTCATCTCATTATTAAAAGTATCGATTTTAATATTTCACAAAGCCACAAAAGTATTTTTTATAACATTTTTTAAGTATTATATATGCAGAGCTAAATTGCAATTTTTTCTTACTATCTTGTAAAGTATAATAGCCATAATGCCCTCTTGTAAGCTCATGTTTTCGTAAAACGTTTTTAAAGCTTTATCTCTTAAAACATCTTTTCCGCACCTTGTTGCCATTTTCATCCACCGTTTCATGTCACATGACGTTTAAGTATCTAAACAAGTTTTTTTGGAAAAGGCGATGAATAATCTTTCAGAGCTTTAACCTCAGAAAAAGTGACAAAATAATTTCAAGGTTTTGTACAAAATGCGGAAGTTTTTCCTCAGCTGTTCTCATGTTTAGCACATCAACTCTTCACATTTCGTTAGGCTCATTATTTGTCACCGAAAAAATATTGTAATTATTAATCAGCTTCAGTTAAGTAGTATGCATCAAGACTATAATGATTTGTTCCAGTAAAGTGACTGCAAATTTTATTTTTACAAGTAAAAAAAATTAATCTAACATTTCACAAAGTTTTTACAATGAGTTTATTTAAGCGAGTTATACAATCATCATGCATTTAGTATACGAAAATCTTCGTAAATTTTACTTTCCTTAAGATATATGCAAATGTCAATATAAGCAAACTTTGCCTGCCATAAAATGCTTAAATCCATTCTTTTTCAAACAAAATAATTAGAAGTTTTGAAAAACTTATTTCATAATTAAACATTTAATTTAAGAAACAAATAACGTATATATTTATCAATATTTCAGCTTAAGAGTTTTGATTGAAAGAATTTGTACAAATCACCTTGCGCTGCCGTTTGTTTTTGATTAACTGTGAATAAACAACATGTACACAGATATCTAATGTCACAATAAAGGCTGTCTGTAACGTTTTCCTGCTTGAAACATTGTCAAGATATAGCTGCACATTTTAGGATGCTAAACAATCCTCCACATTATGAAAATACAAACATTTTGCTAGCTGAAATGGACGTAAAGTGGAAAAGCAATTAACAGTTCTTACCAACATGATTGAAACTTAAAATAACGTTTAAAGGAAGAATCAGATGAATTTTACTTTCCAAAACTTTGAAGATGCTAAGTATGGAAGGCTTATAGGAGGTAGCAGTGACGATAGTGCGTTGCCATCATGAGATTTGTAGCGATGCGGAGCCATTGAATATGCAGGAGATTAGGGAGTAGGAAATAAAAAAGTGCCGTTTCTATCCATTAAAAAAAATGTTTACAGTTTCGCTGTGTACTTGCCTCTGTATGAAATGTCGATGTTTGTAATTCATATGAACGACTTAAAATATAACACAATGTTCACTTGAGTTGCGCATTTTCACCGCTAGCACGTAGCAACACTAGCACGTTTTTTTCGATTGTATTGTTTCCCATAGGCCAAAAAAGACATCCTTCAAAAGCAACATAAATCTGCAAGATATTTAAAATTTAAAGCTAAACATTTCAAAACGGTATAAGGTATTTCTCCCGCTTTCCTAACGTGCCTTCGTGGTGTAGTGGTTCTGCAAACTGGACCGTATTCCAGAGGTCCGTGGTTCGATTTCCGGCGAAGGCATTGGTAATTTTTCATCTCTCTGGCTTCCAAAATTAACCTAATGTCTCTACAGTGACGCCCGAACTAAAAGTGTTGTTGATGATGACTCCCCACCCATGATTTGACGATTGAGTCCTCTAAAAACTCCAGTCGCCCTTTAAAAAGGGGAGTATATAAGGTATGTCTTCCGCTTTCCTAGCGTGCCTTCGTGGTGTAGTGATTCTGCACGCTGGTATTTTTCATCTCTTCGGCTTCCAAAATTAAACTTATGTCTCTACAACGCTATCAAGCAAATGATAAATTATATTTTGTCATTCCGTCTTTTTTTCACTAAAAAAAAAGAGAGAGATAAGTCGCTTTTGCATTTTTTCTTAAACCGAAAAGCGTACTAATGTAGGTCCGTCTTGAAAAAGAAGTAGCCTGAAAGGCAATTTTTTTAAGTGATAGATATTTGTACATTGAAATTACTTATTTACTTTTACTAGTGTACCATTATAGCATGCATTTCCAATTAAGGGGTTTCTCTTTCCATGAGAAAGAGCCCAGCAGTTCGGTCAGCATATTTCGTAGTTTTCCTGACCTAAAGAGAACGTTCCTAAAATAGGAGACTGAACTTGATTTCCCTGCTGGTTTTCTGTTTATTTGTTTGTTTGTTTTGTTTGCTCGTTAAAGAATAGAAAAGATAAGGAGGAGAGAACGTTTTGAGAGCTATAAATGAAAAGACGCGCTGTTCCTGTGTCTGTGGACATTTTTCTCAAGGTAAAAATAGTATGATAATGTTTTTGAGATATTTAACATGAAATTTAAAGCAAAAATTTGACAAAACGAATTATGAATATTCCTCCAAAGTTATGTTAAAATACCTTTCACAGGCATGGCATAAATGCATAGAATCAAACAATGTTGCATGCATTATTATGCATGAAATGAATTACTAAATTGCCTTTAACTTCATGAATAATGCTGTCATTATATTTTTGACTTGCATATTTTTGCGCATTATATAATTTCCCAAAACCAGAAATGACAGGTAAACCGTGCATCATAAATTGGCAAGCAGATTAATGTTACAGAAATAAACATGCTCAGCAGACACTGAATTATTATATTATGTCGAATATATTGCATTGAATGAATTGTATTAAATGAATATATTTTTAGTATAACTCTTTTTTTCCTATTCTATAACTTAAACAATTACATATGAGAATTACAATGCTAGTATTGTTACGACATATTTCCACATATTTTCCTTGGTAGTATTTCTTCGTATGCTACAAAAGAAGATATATTTTTCCTAGCTCCAAAAGGTCTCTTTCGAGATCGAATCTGTACACTGTCTCAATAATACATTTTACAAAGCAAACTTTTCCAAAATAGCACAGATATACTGAATGATATATAGGAAACTTGATTCATACTTAAAATGACATCCTATAAAAGTCGGAGAGAAATCAATGAAAAACAAAATTTTAGTCGTAATAAAATCCTGCTAGGTCTGTCATCACAACTCTGTTATTTAATTGAATGATTCCAAGAATGTCGGAGTCTATATCAATGAAACTAGCAACAGAGAATATGATTCAATTTCAAATGTTAAAATCGAATTCAAAATTGCATGACAAAATAATGAAGTATATAACATGCTTTCACAATCACTAAATTCAAGGCAAATATTTAATTTTATAAAAATTAACAATTAAAGAAAATGATCAGAGTACTATAACAGTTAACTTTGAACCTGTAATATTTCCAATGAAATATTGAATGATGCAATGAATGAATCTCATCTGATAATACAATTTTGCAATCTTGAAAGTATAAATATAAGTAAACCAAAATGAAAATAATAGTCTTCAATGAAATAGATTTGGTCATCGTTCTTTAAATGGGTTGTCAGACTAATCCCACTCTTATTTGAGTGGGATTATCGTAATCGAGACTCGTATTTCTTGAAGATGAAAAGTCACAATCTTCTACAAGAACTCTAAAATAAAAAATTTCATTTCCTCTCAAGTTAAATTCACAACTGCTACTTTAAACAGGAAGAAAACTATTATAACTAAAAGTTCTATTATAACTCTCTGCTTAATAACATGCAAATTTCACATGAATAAGTGTTAAATATGCGTAATAAGCTTTATACATATGTCTCATCATTCACCATCATACCACGCACTTAAAGTTGATTGAAGAGTTAGGAAAGTTTACTTGCAAAAGCAAAGAAAAAAACTATAGCTTGGAACCGTTAATGAAGCGCAGGCGTGTTAGAACGCAGATTAAAAAACTGTTCAAGCAAACTGGCTCCTGCAGTAAAGAATTACGATACCTCTTTGGACATCATGGTGACCAGTGGAGGTGCTCCGTAAGCGTTGAAAGGGGGCATCCCGTCTCCCTTGCAAAAAAGAGAGAATCAGAACACAGTTAGACACAGACATTGGACGTCTTATAAAACAGAATACATTCCTTTTAAGAAACTGGTGAGGAATTTTAAACCTTGAAAGTTTTACACCAATGCCATACGGAAAGTCAAGTCAGCAGCAAGTTTTGATTATATTAGTAGCAGTATTTGCTTCTATTTTACTTAGGGATCATTTTATTTGTTTGAAAATCAAGTTCCTAACATCTAAAAGGTCCTGAAAAAAACTGTGTCAACTTCTAATATTCTAGTCTCTGTAAGAATATAAAAATATATAAAATGATCCCTTTTCCCTAGAAGTTACTTCCATTTAAAAGAAATTACCCAGTTCATCACTGAGCTGATAATTTATTTGTTGAGATAGCTATAATTTATAGTTACAGGTATAATTCGACTGCCTCATCCGCGACCATGAGCGCAAACACGCATGCGCATTCGGACCGAGTTATTCTCAAAATAGGGTGGAAGGATGGGGACTTTCTTTCCCTTCGGCGAATCTCTTTCCGGAGAAGAGAAGACTTTCACATCGCCGCAAGTAATAGCGCCCCCTTTGGACAAGTCTACGTGTTTTGGCTGAATGCCAGCCAGGGTTGCGTTTGAGACGGTCAAGCTATACTTGGGAAATTTAAAAAGTTTGTCTAATTTCAAATATGATTTAAATCCACCCCAATATTTTCTCTTTGAAAGCTTAATAATCCAACAAAATTGTGGCCATTGTCAATACATTTCTTCAGAAAATGGCTTTCCCAGTTATAATATAAGTTATAATTCGTAATACCCAGAGTTAAGATGGCAAGAGGCCCACCAGCGGCCGAGCGGTAAAGTCGCTGAACACTGGTAGTTCGGTCCGAGGTTCGAATCCCGCGAACGGGCTGACTGCATGGGTGTTTTCGTGGTTTTCCCCATGTGTAACGTGTATACGAGTCAGTTTCCCTTAGAAAGTCCTCCACGAAGGCATCCCTCCCCTTAGGCAGATAGCCCTAGTGTGCTTTGCCATAATTAAATACACCTAAGATGGCAAGATGTACAGCTGCGCTGGGAAAAAGTGTCGTTCAAATTACACCTGCTATAAAAATCTCCTCTCAAGCTGATTTCTCGCTTCCGAAAAATCAAGACTTCCTACAAGTAGTAGCAAAAAATATAGGGATTAAGTTAAAGTTATAAAATATGTAAGAAAAAGCAGGTTATTTAACAAAGGAATAGTTTTTGCTAGTACTTAGAACAAGAAATTCACTGATTAAAGAAATGTATCTCAAAATTGGCCTAATTTTGCGGGAAAATGCGCAATAATTTCATAAATAAAGTATTCAACTATTTCTGTGAAACTGCGAAAACTTTAAACATTTCGTCGTATTATGAATGAAGACTAAAGTAATGATAAAGTAAAGATGTCTATAGTAAAGAATATTCAAGCATTTTTTTAATATTATCTTCCCCATATACTGTTACAAATTTGAGTTACTATTACAATCTGAATACACTCCGTGATGAGTAATATTCCAGTCACTTCTTGCCGAATTCCACAGAAATTCCTTTTTAACGATAAAAATTGCTTTTATTCTTTAAAAAATGATTTGGGAAAATAATTTTTTATAAGATGCGTTTGATAATGGAACAACACTATTAGTTTGTGAAAATAACACACTAAAGGGGAGCAAAACTTGCTTCTTTTCGGAATTTTATGTTACTTTAAATTAGTTTACAAAATAAAATCTTACTACTTCTGAGTAAGTACTTACTACTTCCTTATTTCTTATTGAGAAAAGCCTGTATGGAATTAAGACTAAATTAAAATCATTATGTCTTTTTGCCTTAGAAATGTAATCATATTTTTTCTAAACGAGTTTGACTTAAAAGAGCTGCAATTAGAGCTTTAGATAATCAGAAAGTTTAATCAGAGCAGGATTATATTATTCAATAACAAACTTATTTAAAGCTGTACCAATGATGAAACTATAGTTAACTAAAGCATCTATAGAAATAAGAACTAAAGCAACGTAATACAGTACTAGTTGAATTAATGTCAATGTTAACCGAAGCATCAAAATAAAATATCTAGTAGGTATAGAAGTATACCATAAAAAAAAAAAAAAAACTTCATTAAAAGTAGGGAGTTCTTATTCGTAATGCGTATAACTCCTGTGTATATTATAATATTATAATAAAAAAGGTACAAAGCAAGGTTCCCATAAGCAAAGTTCACAAAGCAAGGCTTATTTCGGTCTCCTCTATCTGCCTTTACAATTTTACCACATATTTTTAAATAACCCTAGAGAGAGAGAGAGCATAAAGATGCATATCATCTTATACTCTCTCTCTGTAGGATATGAGAGAGAGAATAAGGCTTTTACGACATACCAAACTTTTAATCTTATTAAATTTATGAGTAAATTAGAAAGTGAAGTAAAGCAACTGAATATTGTACACAGCGGGGGAAAAAAAAAAAAAAAAAAAAGAACAGTTCTTTATCTCCCATTTTTACTGTGTCGATTGACGAAATTCAAATTGTGTTTTCCATGTCTCGAAAGCGCGACTTAGGTTATATATTAGAGTTATACATAGCAATTATTGTAACATAGGTATTTTGACACAAAATCAGACTTTTTCTGAAATAACATACCATTTTTTTTTTCCATATTTCGATTTCACGACTTAAATTATGCCTAGATATTAAATTTTGTAATTTTTGGTGATAAATTTATCTTGGCGAGGTTTTTTTTTTTTTTCAGTTTGCGCCAAGAATAACTTCCTTCGCGAACTTCTTAATTTATAACAACCTATTTTTCCTTTTTTCTTCACTGTGCATGAGCGGGGGAAAAGTCATCGTTCATACATTCAAATAATTGAACCTAAATTTCGAACTGTGTAGGAAGGAATCAAAAAAGTTTCATAAAAAATAGATATTAATAAATACATACCAATTTGAATTAACATTGAGGAGCTAAAATTTTGAGAGCTAATTTTTTAAAAACTACTCGTGTGATTTTTATAATACTTGGCGGTTTGGCATAATTTGAGTCGTAGAATCGAAATATGGAAAAAATTAGCATGTCATTTCAGAAAAAGTCCGATTTTGTGTCAAAATACCTATATTAGAACAATGCTATATATAAATCTAATACATCCTAAGTCACGCTTTCGAGACATGAAAAACTCAAGTTGAATTTCGTCAATCGGCCCAGTTGGAACAAGAGATATAAATCTGCTTTTTTTTCGCAGTGTACAGTGCCAGAAGTTCCTTGAAATTCGTGACGCAAAGAAAGATAGCGAAGTCTAATCCGTCTCCTATATAGTCTGCCTGCGCGTAACAAAATTCTCAAAAAGCAGACGGTATATTACTCAAACTAGTAGCTATATTCCATCATAGTTTAAGGGCAGACAGAGTTAAAATAATAATAAAAATTTATTAATGTATTCATATTTCTCAAGAACGTTAAGTGCCACACAATGAAACTCACATGCACAACACACAATACAAGCAAAATAAAATTAAAGTAATATATCTTCAGTGAAATAGGTTTGAACCCTAATCCTTCAAACGAGTTGTCAGCCTAATCCTACACAGATAAATCGCGATCCGGTGTTGCATGCCTTGGAGGTGAAAAGTCAAACATATTCAATGAAAGGCCAGAAAACAAACAAACAAAAAAAAAAAAAAATTCATTTCTGAATCAAATTCGTAACTACATTTTTAATCAGAAAGAAAATTCTCTAGAAGTTATGCTATAATTCCCTATTTAATAACATGCAAATTTCATATAAATAAATGTTAAATACATGCAACAGACTTGACACATACGCCTTATTAAGCACCATCATACCACGCACTTACAGGTTGACTGAAGAATAAGCAAAGCTTACTTGCAAAAGTAAAGAAAAAAACACTAGAGTGTATGTAGAATCGCTAATGAAAGGCGTGCATGTTATTGCAAGGTGCATTGGGAAATTTCTTACAGTTCTTCGGCCACCATTTATTCACTTGGTTGCTTATTGACGTAACTTTCTAGACAATAAATTATTTCAACAGAAATTACACACTTAGAACAAAGAAGAATTAAATTAAAGATAAGATATCTTGAAGAAATCTGTGTATTTGTAAATGGTTATAAGAAAATTCGTATCCAAAATGTTTTTGCCTACATGAAAATAAAAATTTTTTAGGTGAGCAGCAAAAGTGCAGAGGTCTTCCTACGCATTTCACGAGTAGTTTTAAAAGCCAAATACAGGCATAAACCAATTTATTGTGCTTCAAAGATCTTGTGCTGACTTACAGATTGAAGAATAAGAAGTCAATCAAGTACATTTTATCAAGTGCATTGGCTCACTTCGTATCTCTTGTGCCAAGGAAATACATATGTGTTATAAGCATATGTATTTATCAAATTTTGAAACTCAAAAGGTTTCATTGTGTCGCCTTACGGTCTAGCAGTTCTGAGATCCTTTCAGAATTATTATACTGAAATTTTTAATTTTGCTTAATCTTGAAACTACTCATATCATTACTTTTCCTTTTTTAGAATATTATAGTATTTATGTAAAATTTAGACATTTAATAAAAAGGCTGTTACTTCTTGTGATAGCTCAAACTTTTCACTGGTATTATACTGAATTTTGGAACATTAAAAACAATACAATTATCAGTACTACCTTAAGTAAAAGTCAAAGATTGCATTTCTCATTTTAAATTAAAAGCTAGAAATAATCCATCTTAGAAAGAGAAGCACGTAGAAAGCTGTATTCGCTAAATTTAAAGTTTTTGTATCATAAATTTGAACGTTAAATGTCTCGTTATAAAAATATAGACAGACTTTTCAAATGAAATCAAAAGCGCTACTTTGGCGCATAACAAGACTAATAAGACAGTAGAATTGTTATACTGCTAAAATGACTACATCTCATGTGGGACATTACCAGATTTCAATATTGTGTCAAGATTATGTCCCGGACAAGATCCCCAAGACCCGATTATTTTGTTA